TTGAATGGCATAGATGAATATGGAGCAGAATTTTGAAGTATGCATTTAGTGTTCAAGTGCATATCCAAGAGTGGGGCCGAGTGATGTATGCAACAGTGACGACAAAATACGTATATATGTGCATATGCAGATATGTATGTGTGGGTATGTGCTACATAAGCACGCAGTGTAAAGAAAATGATATAGAAACATTTTTCTTTGAAGGGTAAAACGTTGTAAATGAGAACATATTTTATTTATTTCTTTCAACACTTTTCAAAATATTTTATTAAATATACGAAATATGAAAAAAAATCCAAAAAATGCCAAATAAATTCTTAATGAAATTGCATTACATACATATTTAATGTGTTTATATACAGATTTAATAGAAAAATTATAAAATAAAATTAGAATGTGTTTGGTATTAAAATTAGCACAGCAAATTAACAAAAGTAACTAAAACATTTCAATCTGACTTATGCATTTCAGTGGAAAAATATATGATATGGCATATCCAATAATCGCATTTGTAGGAAAATCTCCAACAAACAACTGTTTCTAGAGAACTTTTTTCTTAGTTTTTACAAATATTTATTTAAATATTTACAGTCGTATGGATACATTCAGTAACGTATGTATTTCACAAGTACATTTTAAGCGAAATATTCCTACAGACAAACATTAAACACTCATTTTGCATGACAAAGAAACTGACAGTGAAAACAATATTTTAAAATAAAAGTTCAGCACTCAGACTGCCATAAAAATATAACAAAACTAAAAGTAAAAAATATATTCCAAAAGGTATGCAGTAGTAGGGACACATACGAGTACATAACTACAGGACATATTCTCACATTGCACAGATATTTTCCTTCTTTTATGATTTTTTAACATTTCCTCCGCTTTTGCTAAGAATAATAAACTACGTAGAAATGAATGAAACTAAAATAAAAAAAGCAAATGAGAAGAAGCAATAATATTCATCACAATACAATGCCTTTAAATGAAATGAAGTGCAAAAATAATATTGAAACAAACTGATATTTCCATAAAGACTTCGTACACCACAGAGCATATTCGAGGCATTCCTGCAAAACGAACCCAAACCCAAACCCAAACCAACTTAACCAACCAACCAACATTCTCGTATTATGGTAAATTGTACGATTACACCCACAGGATGAAAACTGCAGATAAAAAGTGGACAAGCATTGACGATACCAACTTACAATGCATCCATCCTCCAAGAGCAAACAAAAGGTAAGGCCGCAGTGCTCAACGTACTACAATGACTGGAGCAAGCAGTAAGCAGATTTTAATGATTTAAAAGATGACGAAATGTTCGTTGCCATTAAACGAAATAAATATCACATCAAGTTAAAATTACACTAAGAAAATTATTGTGCTTTAATTTTTATGGCAGTGAAGCAATTTATGGCGTGTATGCAAATTAAGGCCACTGCGTTAAATTGAAATTTTACTTTCCTCCATAAAAACATGTTGTAGTAAATTTATTTTCACTTTCAGATATATAATATACAGATAGTCAACAAAATGTTTGCATAATATGAAGATTATTTATTTATTTTTTATTTATTGTATATTTTATATTATTTTGCAATTTGAATAGTTGAATGAAATAATTAAAAAATGTTCAAATAAAATATAATATATATCAACTATAATAAAAATTTACGAACAACTAAATTAGTTAATGAAAGTAAAAAAAATTATACCAAAATGTTTAATGAAAATTAAAAAAATTAAAAATTAGAAAATTAAAAAAAAATAGAAAATTTGAAAAAAAAAATTAAAAATTAGAAAATTAAAAAAAAAATATAAAATTTGAAGAAAAAAAAATTCTGAAATACAAAAAAATTTTGAAAAAAAACTAAAAATTATAAAAAAAAAATTGAAAAAAAAATAAAATAAATGGCATAAAACAAAAAATATAAAAAAAAATAATATTAAAAAAAAAAACAATTACTAATTTTCACTAATTGGTTAACAGTTAAATAATACACTTTTTAATAAAATGTTTGTTTTTTTATATGACTTAAGTGGAAACGATATTTCGACTATATTCTATAGTCATAATCAGGGTATTATATAATATTAAAATGAAAAAGTGTGTTATTTAACTATTTACCAATTAACCCGTTAAAAAACATAATAATTATTAAAACAATAAATTATTTAAAAATAAAAAGTATATTCAAAAGAGAAAAAAAAAATTATTAAAAAAATAAAAAATAATAAGAGCAACAAAAAACAATAGGAGCAACATGTACTAAAATAATAAAGTGTAATAAAACAAAAAATATAAGAGGTCTGGTCTGGTATCTTCAATGCCAAACATTTATAAAATTAAACCCATGACAGTTTTTATCTGTAGTTAATAAGACCTACAAAAAGTGCTGATATTACTACATTAACTGTAAATAAAGAATATTTACAAATTAGAACACGGATGTGACTTGGAACCCATACCTATTCCCACCCAAGTTTAGTTCTATTTAGTTAAAATATATGAAACAAAATACTCGTGAACAAAGTATATATCACAATATAACATGTTTAAAAAATCATTTATATATCAGTCATCAAACTAGTATTTGTTGTGATTCATAAAATTACATTTATAACTTAAAAAAGCACTAAAACATTTTTATTGCACTTCTACAATGCACTCAATAGAAAAAATAATTTCACTCCACATACATATTTTAGCATCTTTTAGTGTCTTATTTAATACGAATTGTAGCTATAACATATATATCATTTATCACATTTCCATAACAGACCCTGCAAAAGCTTAGAAGTTTTTTATTCTCAACTCCTGTTGAAGTTTGCAAGTAATTTAACAATTTGTCTGTATTATTTTGTTAATTAAAAAAGTTTAACTAAATTATATATAACAATAATTTGAAATCCTTTTGCAGCCTTGTCTTTTTGGATATAAGGATAGGATTTTGGGTAACTATATTGGATACGACTATTTGTTTTTTACTTTATTCTGCACCTTTTTTTTTATTTCTTTGAATAGTGTGAATATCCAGGTACGCAGCCTGAAGACGCCTCTATATCGAATCGATTATCACGAAAATACGTTTTTGATAAAATGTCATTGTCTGCCATGAAACCGATATGGAAGTATATGAACAATTGACATATATATTATACTTTTGAAATTGATGGATCTTTTTTTTGGTAATAGGGTATCTTCCTGCAATTTTATTTTAGGAAAGCATCTCCTACTTCATTTCATCGAATAATAATGTAATAATACCTTCTGCTCAAAAAGTACTCGGATTTTGTAAATAAAACATACAAATTTAAATTTTATTCCAAATTTATTTCATCTCCTTCAAAATATGCTCCTTCTGAAGCGATACACATATGCCAATCTTCCATACACTTTTCGTAGGCCCATGAAGGTATGGCTTTTAGTTCCTTTAGCGAATTCTCTTTTACCGATTCAATCGACTCAAAACGCTTACCACGAAAGGGCAATTTAGTTTATATATACATATATTATGATACTAATTATATATTGTGTTTATATCTATATTTCAAGCAAAAATGAATCTGGCTAATTTCGTCATGATTTCAACATAATTCTTATGAACAAAAAAAATTGAAATAAAGCTACACAAATTTTCTCAAGTATCTTCCACCCTCAACTTAATAAACAACGAACCAAAGTAAGTCAAACAGATTTACACACCACTGTACCATAACGACAGAGCATACAGCAAGACAAAATAAGTAAAAACAACAACAAACAAAAACTAATTAGTTTAAATTGTTTGTTTAATTATTTTGGCAATTGTGCCTAAGAGATACCATACCGTCTCTCATATTCATAAATATATTTTTGGCAATCTTTTTATAGAAATATGAGTTCAAAATCTTTTTATAATTTTTATTATATTTTCATATTTTATGCACTTTATTTCCTACAGTTTATTTAAGTCAATAAGCGCGCTTATAATTTTCCTAAGGGCTTTGTGGACTAATTAATAATTAAATATTTATTAAATGCATACTCTTAATTTGTTTATAATTTTTAATTATGCATAATTGAATCATCACTGCCTAAACAGCTTCATATACACACATATACGTCGTTGTAGATTTCCATAATTCGTTAATATGTATCTACTCATCTGATTCAGACTCAACACTGAAATATTTAAACCGAAACACTAATTAGTTTTGGTTTGGACATCAATTTCAAAACAGTGTTTCAACTTGGCGCCTGTTTGACATTAAGAAGACTACAAATCTGATTAATTTTAAATTATTATTTATTTTTTTTTTAATATGCTATATATGTTTCACACATATTTTATTTGTTTTAAAATCATGACAAATCTGTACAGAGACAATTCTAAAGATTTATCTTCACTATACTAGCGTCACCGTCTTTATAGTTTTTTTTTTTAAGTTTAATCTGATATTCGAGTATGTAAACTGTAAAACGATTATAATGTTATTGCAACACATATTTTTTCCATACTTCTTTTTTAGAACTTTAAATTAATGGTATTAATTATAGTGTATAAATAAATTTTTACACTTAGCAGCAAAAAACTGCTGCTGACACAGTACCCTTATTACATGGGAACCATAAAACACTGACGCACGGCTTTGGCGTCTAGAAAATATAGGTTTTAGGAAGGTACTTGTTTGACAGTTCAACAAACTCTTCATCAGTAAAGATGAAAGACCTATTAAACAATCTAAATTCGACGGGTTGGATTTAGTCTATATTCTTCTATCTTAGGAGTTCTTGAGAGGAATGTAGCAAGATGGAGGAAAATCCTTAACTGAGGTACATGGAAGTTATTTAATGCCCTGCTACTGAAAGCGACCAATCAACCCTTATACAATATTCTCATACCTCTTATCCGGATTTATGAAATGAAATACAAAAAAAAAATTATTAATCGAGTTTACTAGCGAAGTTTATCTATGAGAATTGTCAATAAAAAAAACTATCAAAATTATCAGTATAGTTCAAATTTCAGTTATTGTATATATTGATAGTTCAGTATATTTTGACGCAAGAGAAAAACTGTAATGTGTGATTTTTAACAGGTCAGAAAACTGATTAAAACTATACCAACTTAACATCATTAATCGTGAAAATATCATTAAATTAACTTATATTGTATTACGATATTTATTTATAGGATTGTTACATTTATTTCTTGGAATACGCAATATACATAAAAGAAACAGATTTCTTTGTTAGATTACAAACTTCAACAGAAATGTATGCTGAAATAAACAACTTATTAGTGAGTATTAAAAAAGTTGAATTCATTTTCATAGATATATAAAAATTTATTATAGCAAGAGAGACTAAGAGGCACAGCTACTTTGTTGTTCAGAAAATGATTTCTTTTTCAAATAAAAAACAAATTAATTTAATAAATTTTTCAATCCAATATTATACCTGAACCACTCTGACATACACTTTGACGACAAATAGATAGTTTGTAATTTATAATCTGAAGAACCCATTACAATTGCAAGGACCACAAAAATCCTTAAACAGTGGTGAGCTTAATATAGAGCAACAAGATGTACCGTTATATATATTAATTTTTTTCCCAATAGGAATAACTGATAAATTGCAAAAAAGAGACGAATATATCTATAAGCAATCTTAAGGCAATATAGTGTTTTTGGACTACATATCTAAAGTATATTACATCACTATTTCTGAGAAAAACTTATTTGCTTCTCTATTTTTATGACTACAAGAACAAGAAAATTCTTTAACGATTTACTGATCCCTATTAGCAATAACTTGGTGTTGTAGACAAAGTAGAGTGGGATAATCGAACGAAACAAATACAGTACAAAATTCATTCTTTATTTATTTAATTTAACAAATACATACTGTTTTAAATGATTTTATATGATTTTATTTTATTAAAATCGCCAAAATTACCAACAACATATCACTTAAAAATTATAGCTGTAATAGACTTTAGTTTAATTAAATTCAAATGTTTGGCAACCCTAAAGAATATATGTAATCTAATTGTAGAAGAAAGATGATAAGTCTAATGTAAGAATACTGCCACGATTTCAAGCCAAAAACCTAACTTAATTGCACAGACTTTTATTCCCGATACCTAGTTTGTGACCAATAAGTGTGTTCATTAAAATCTATATATTTCCTACGCAATATTACGCATATATATACTGTGTATATTAAATTTACAATATATGAACTCACGTTATAGTATGTATCCATAAAGATCTTATATGAGAAATGTGATTTTAAATTATAGTTCGAAATATTTTTAAAGTGAGCAACCACATAAACCCACTAAATGTGGTTCTGTTGATATTTTTATTAAGAGATAAGAACTATAACCTAAGCAAAGTATATTTATCGGGCTTAATGAAGCACTTTAACTTATAATTATATAATTATAATTATTATTTATATATTATATAAATATAATGAAGCAAATTAATTAATATGCCTTTTATAAAATGTATTTATTACATATTTGTGTAGATAAGAGCAATGGATTGTAAATAAATAGAATATTTTTTGGTTTTTATAAATAAAATTAAAGTATTGTTTATATTTCAATATAACTACATATTTTGATGTAACTACATATTTCGATGTAACTACATAACTGTCTTAAATTATTGAAGTATGGTATATATTGTGAACCATCCGCACTACAAAACAAACTCACTCTATCGCTAATACTCAATCGCTAATTGCCAGTCTTTGGAATTATGACACCACAAAATCTTACAATTACATGAAGTATTGGGGATAGGCACATTGTCGCAGCTCTTCGTATCATTATCTTTTTTCTTTTGCAGTATGACGAACCCAATTAATCATTATTCACAGTTTTGTGATATATATAGCAGACAACATTGTAAGTACATATATATACACACATACATGAGTAAGTACATGAGTAAATAATATAAGCCTTTATGAACTCTAAAGACAAATAACATTTTTGTTAAAATAAAATAATAAAGAAAAAATCTGCTTAAATCAACAACCGCCAGTGTTGAAGTACTTCACATACAAAAGATACGCATTTCAGTATGATTATTACAAAACTGGAGGTGAGGAGTAGTTGAAGACATGTTGAAATTTTCTAATTTTCTAGTGTTTTAATTTATTTTTGTACTTGCTTTGCTGCATATGATTAATATCTTTCATGCCGTGAAATCTACTAAATACAGGCGAGTTCGTTCAGCGTGCCATTCTGAACCTTATAGTAGATAAGCGCCTTGAAATACTAAAAACGCAGAAAATTACCGATAATATCGAGAAAGATAGTTCTCTTTAAACCAATAATTTTTTTTGTTTGTTTATGTTGTTACTTAGTGAATATTAGTTTTTTTTGTGTAGTCTTTAAATTTTGTATTTCTTATTGAAAGGAAAAAAGACACATTTGTTTTGTCATTTTTTAGTGTCACTCTAAATCCAATCAACATATCGCTTAGTACAGAAATGACGCATTATGGTTGCTTAGTTGAAGGAAAAAACAAATTAAAAAATTAAAAAATTAAAAAATTAAAAAAATTATTTAAGTTTATATACAAAAAATATTTTTTTTAAAGATTTCATAATTTATTTTAAGCTATGCCACAATTCTTTTATCAGTTTTAAGTGCAAAACAATATTTTTGTAAATGCCTCATATTTTTTATTTAATATATGTACATTCCTTTTATTCTTTTTGTTTAATTATTTATAACTTGACTATTTTGAATTATATATTTCTTCTCTCTAAAATGGTTAAATATAAATAGATTTTATTCAGATATACTTTAAGTTGTTTGCATTCTCATATATTGAGTATTGTTTAATTAATGTTTACTCATTGTAAACATTTATCTGAACTGCAAGAAATTGTATTCCATACCATAAATTAATCACACTTAAATGAAAATATGGATTTTTACATAAATACTTACATAAATATATATAGAATGAGAGTACATGCAATTTCTGAGTATAAATTTTAACAACAAATACTTCATGCAAATGGTTTTCTAATGAATATGCACTTGTCCGATACTTTCAAATGGCGATAGCTTTCGATATTTGTATCTGTGAATGCGACATTAAAATGCCACTGAAATCAAGTTCATTTGTTAAATTTATGCATAATTTATAAAAATAAATTTTAATTAATTTCTGAAGTAGTTTAATTAAAACGATATACTAATTTATTTGTTAACATGAGTCTCGTAGGTTTAATCAATAAATAATATTTATTGATTTTTAATAAGGATTTATTTAAAAATATAAGAAAGTTGTTTAATAAATTAAGAAAATATTGAAGGAACAAACTCTGAATTTTATAATTTTTTTTTAAAATAAATTTAATAAAAGGAATTATAAATTTTTATCTTATATTTAATTCAACAAACATTAGTAAAACAAACTTATGGAGAAATAATTTATTATTAATGTTGCAAACTGTACAATAGAAAGTTAAATTCTAAGACTTATAATAGTGTGGTCGCTGAAAGAAAAATGTTTTTTAATAATTTTGGAAATATAATCCATCTAGTACTTCCTAACGAAATAAGGAAGAGTAGAGTACTAAATACTGGATACTAGTTGTAATACCGATGATGAAGATAATGCTAAAAGCATAAGTATATACCGGCTTAATTGGGCAAGTGTTACAGTCAACTAATCAATCAAGAAGATAATGGAGCAAATAAAGAACAGTCTTACTGCAATAAAAATATGCATGTTAAAAAGCACATAGAATCAATTATCTCACAACAGAGCCATGAATCTCATGATCGCAATGTTCTCACACTTCGAATATTGATGAAATATTATTAAAAGAAATATATCAAGAATTAAAAGAACAATAAAACTACTTCACTAATATTAATAATAAAACTTTTATAGTCTAAAGAAAATACGAACATAGTAATCTAAATTACGGTAAAAACAAGATACATATATTTGAATATCATTTAAACATATAGAAAATATAGAACAATAGTGGAGATACTTAATGATGAAAGCTAATTAAGAAAGAATATATAGCTTTAACACATTAATCGACACTAGAGTAAAAATAATATACATCGATCTTAAGATCAATAAAGCAGAAAAACAAGATGGATTGTTATTAGTTTAAAAGATTGACACACTGTCGACCATATACTTAATAAAATAATTTGAATATAGATAAAAAAAAGCACTTCTTAATTTAAGCTCTTATATAAAATAAATTGGAAAGGACATCACAGTAAGAGAGCTAAGGATAAATTTTTCTACTCAGACTAGTATATTTAGCGACATTATACAGAATTATTCGGATTATTCAATATTGTCCCACCGAGCATCGTAGGTTAAATTTTATAAACCGTTTTTATGTTTTTAAAAAAATCAAGTTTATAAATCAATTTAAAAAAAAAATAAGTTTTATACATGACACAGCAGTTTTAGTCAACTATACAAATCTATATTTTGCAATAAATGCACATTTAAATTACTAAAAATATTATTCTAAACATGAATATGTAGCTTTAAGTTTTCATTGAAGCTTTCAGTAATGTATATTAGTGTAAGATAATTAAGTCGCATATATTGCATATTAATAAGTCTCTTATAGATTAGGCGCACCCTATTAATAATGTTAAACAACTTTGCAATGGATTAAATTGATTTTCAATGTAAAATCAAGCACTGCAAGACATTTTATAAAAATTTAAATAAAATTCAAATTAGTTATTTTAAGTATGAATACTTAATAGGATTACTTTTGTCTCTCTATAAAACGAACGACAAAAAGAAACTCTAATAAATACACGATTTCAGATGTATCTATATAAATTCATATATGTTTGTATATATACAAGTATGGTAACAGTTACTCGTATTACTTTTATCAGCTGTCAAAGATACTTAAGGAAGTAAAACAGTAATTAAATTATTTTTATGCAAGCAATTTTTTTTTATTATATTTTTTATATATTTAATTATATAGCTAGAGACACCTAGTTTCTAATTCCAAATTCAAAAGCAAAATTATTAATTTATATACAACTATTAAAAAAAATTGAAATTTGTTTAAATCATTTAAGCTGTCTTTAATCTGACACCATAACATCTGCTGTGTATCTCTCTAGGCTTAGCTAGAACTAGGCTTAAGTTTCTAGGGGCCCTCTTTTTCAACACACTTGGTAATGTCTCTAGCATTAGCATTGGCCAAATTCTTGCCCTTGTAAATGCCTCTGACTGGTTTCTAACTTGATCTTCTCTTTACTACATATTATTAAGAGGATTTGTGAATTCAAAACGACTTTCTTAACTAAACTAGGTGGATCCTCTCTCCACCACAACTAACTAACTAAATCATTTAAACAATTCAAAGAAGTGCACAGTTTCTACTTCTAAAAAAATAATTTATATGATTGAAGATAAATACATGGAACCATTGGAACAATGGAATACATAATGTGGCTAATGTTAATTGAAACAAAGATAAAAAGAGGTAATTAAATTAAATGGTAAATGTAACTTATCACAAGCAATTTATCCACTGTAGTTTTCGGTTTTATATAATTTCCTTACAACATTACCTTATATGTACTTTAAACCTTTGTGTTTCATGTGAACAAAACCGTCGTTACCTATCAACATTTTATATACCTGCTTTTATAACACAGGCTGCCAATATCGTCCATTATTTAACTATGCCATATAAGACATTTTTCTGATTATAGCACTGACATTCTTATTAGAGGGCTTATACTATTATTCAATTAATTTATTTTCATTAGGTTTCAGTTAATATCCTATATATCATATATAACATTATATATAGTCAACGTATATAAAATATCCCCTAAGTTAATCCGTTTTTTTTCTTGTCATCGATTTAAAATATTTATTATAATTTTCAAGATTCATGCTTTTCACTGAGATAATAAATCACATTTATTTTTTAATTCAAGTATTTTGATCTAAAATTCTTTGAAATACTTTTTTAATGAAATTATTTTCTTTAATTAAATTTCATTAGTCCGTCATAAACTTATTTACTCAAATTTATTTCACAAAAATTATAAAATAGTCACTGATATCGGAGAAGGTATATTTCACAGTTTGAAAAAACTTTAGAAGAAATTTTCAATAATCGGACAGTTAGAACAGAACAGTTTTTAACATTAAAGCTTAGAATTTAGTGTCATTTCTAAGTAAATAGGATTCAAAACAGGTCCAAGTGTTTTATATTGTTTATAAATTTGGATTTATTGTCAAATGCAAAATATGGTGACGAATCTTCTATAAAAATATACTAAATTATGAAATTTAAAAACCAAAATATTTGAAATTACAAAATTTTAGATAATTTTTTGTTTATTTATTTCAAATTGATTTATATGCAATTTGTAAAATAGACAGCCAGAATACACCGAAAAAAAAATAAACAATTAAAATAATAATAAGAGATCTCACAAAAAAGTATAGCCAATGACTTCACTCAAGAATTGCCGAAGACAATGACCGGCTAGCTTAGCTAAAAATGCGACTTAGGAGTGAAAGATACATAAAAGAATTCTACGTATTTCAAAAAAAATCACAAAATAAATAAATGAAAGCTTTAGAAAATAAACAATTTTAATAATTAAAAAAAGATGTTTAATTGTAGAAATAAAATAAATTATTTTTAATGTTTTTGTCTAATTAAGAAGTAAATCATTTATTTAATAGGTAAAATATTTGTTAATGTTTTTTTTATAATAAACAATCATTTAAAATCAAAAGTGTTATAACATATATATATACATATAATACATATATATTGAAATATATACCAATACTTTGAAATTTTTATTTAGTTCTAAGTTAATTTATTGAAATTAATTAATTAATTGATATTAGTTATTAATTTAATTACTTTATTAGTAAATAAAATTATTTTATACTACTCTAAATTAATTCAGATTAATATACTTATTCGGTTTTATAATAAAAATACCTATATGAAATTATGTTTGTTTATTTTTTTGTATTAATTTTATTTATGAAATAGACTACGAATTCTACAAGTTAGAAATAAAAAAAATTTTACAATAATGTTTGTGTGTAATTTAATATTCATGTAATTTTTATAGATAATATAGATATATATAGGGGCACAATAGACCCGACGGTCGCAGTGCCATATCCCCTAACAATAATAATAAAAATAATTATAATTTTTTTCATTTAATGAAGCGCTTACAAATTTAAACAAAAATTATTTGTTTTTGCTTTTAAAAGTAACTATTGTGTTTCCAAAAAATAAAATTACTATTGTTTAGTAAAATCATCTTTTTAGGTTTGAAGACAAAATGTAGTTTATTATTTAAATTTTGATTAAATACTCGTAATACGAAAATCATTTTAAAATAGAAAAATGCGTAATTAATTAACTATAGTTGAATGGAATCGATCGCAGTACATTCTCTGCGATTTTACTAAAACTTTTTAAATCTCAAAATGATTAGAAAGTATCTCGTCAGAATTTCTGTTTTCTCTTGTAGTACTCACTTCGTTTGAGTTTACCCCGGTTTGAATAGTAATGAAACTAAAAAGTCTTTACTCTAAAGTCTAAATATATATAATAAATACCTTTAGGGTTAGTCTTTTGCTATTTTTGATTCTATTTCTACTTATGGGGTCACCAAAATGTTACATATTTAAATGGTGGAAAACCATCTTTTCAAAAAAATCTACATAATAAAACAATTTTGAACATATAAGTACAACAAATCTAAAGTAAACTAAGGATAAAACATATTTATTTATCATGTAAGTTCATTACAAACCACATTATCCTAATAGATGTTAGGTTGCCATCTTAATAGTTAGCTACGATCTTTTCGCTATTAATAGATAGAAGTTACTATCAGTAGTATAATATAATATGTAGATAGAAGAAATATAATCTTCAGACATTAAAATCATGTACTGGCAATTTATTAAAAGAAACCACGTCAAGGCTACTAGAGTAATAGCAGTTCTTTTGTTTCACAGAGTTATAAAAATCCACGGAGTAATACATATTTATTTTAGAAGTTAGACCAAATAGAAACTACATGATTGTTATAGTTTTTCTTTAATGTGTTTATAATAAGTCCGTTATTTAAAGCCTTTTTATAAACTTTCTTAAAATAAAAACATATTTTTAGTTCTTATATATATAAGAAAAATTTATCAATATTTCAAAATTTTTTGACCATTTAATTACAACTAATATTACCATCATTAAATTAGAACTATTTATTAAATTGATTTCAAATTTGTTTGTACATCTTTCATTTCTGATACGGTAACATAATGGACCAGTACACCTAAATGGGTCTTTTGGAGCGCCGCTATAATCTAACATATAAGATAAATTGTTAAAACATCTCGAATATTCAAAAAAAAAAAAAAAACAATTGGTTATATCCAGTTTTATAAAAAGCTATAAGTAATTTAATTGCCAAAATACCAAATCTTTTCAATATTGCAAATTAACATAATTTTTTATAAATTTAAAAAGAAGATAGAATTAAATATACACTTTTTCTGAAATTCTTTTTCATGGACTAACAGAAGGAATAGGTCTTTTGAAAAATATTTTTTTGATAGCTTATCGGAGTGCTTTACGGTAGGTACAAAAGATTTGTTTAATTAAATGAACTTAGCAGAATGGATCTTCTTATTTATAGGGATTTCTTGCGAATAATATGGTTTTAAGCGAATGAATGTTACTTGTAAGGGTATCGAATAATCAATTGCTGCAACTGGAATGATATAGTTACTCTTACTTCTGTGGCTATTGATGGCATAAAAATAATAAAATTATTATATAAAATAATATTAATAAAAATTTTAATAAAATAATATTAAAATTATTAAAAAAAGACGTAAAAATAATGACATTGAGTCAATTTAATAGTAATAATTAAACTATGTTTTCTCTATGGCGTTGTTTTTCTCTATGACATATAAAATTTATTCTAATAATTTTCCAATTCAATATGATATTAATATGCTAAGCTATTTTTATTTTAAGATTTATAATTTTTTTTTTATATTGGCAATAAAATGAATTAATAAATAATACAAAATTGGAAAATTAATTAATCAGACGAGCCAAATGCCCTGGCAACTAGCACTCTTTTTTCCTATCTGAGTTATAAGATATTATATTTTGTGATCAGTAATTAATTATAATAAAAATAAAAATAAAATAAAAAGAAAAATTGGTCAGAAGCTTACCTTAAATTTGGAACAGCTGCGGCTGCAGCGGCTGCTGCCTGCAATGGCGGTGGCACATTATATGGAAACGGTAGCTTTGCAGCTACAGCAGGATTTTCGAAGAGCATTTTGTTGAAAATTATTTTGTGGCTTTTATTAATAATAATACTTGAGAAAACACACGTTGCCTAAATATATTATTAATAATATATTTAAAGATATTTCTTATTTAAGATTTTCTTTTTTTTTTCAATAAACACTATTTAAATTTAATTTTTATTTTAATTAGACACACTCAAAAAAATTTTCATAAAATTATGCTGTTGTTTACATTCGCAGGAAATGTTGTTGACATGGATATAAACTTGCTACAGTGATAATTCCCAGTAAAATATTTTACTTATTTTAGCTAAACGTTACTGTTGGCAAAACTTGTTATTAAACCGGGTTCTTCGTCTCAAAATTACTGTAAATAAATTTTAGAATATTCAAATGAAGTCTACGAATTCATAACACACAAAATTTGCTTAAAGGTAACACTTTTCGTGTAGCCGTTGTTTTTGTTTTTGTTTTTGTTGTGTTTCTGAACTTCTGTGTAATGTTTCATGCGTGTATTGAGTTTTTGTTTTGTTTTTGCTTTTGTTGGTTTGTTTGAGAAATGAATCAATTACCGGCTTTTCGCGTATACGAGTTGTGTGTGTATATGTATGAGTGCAAACTTTTCATATACAACTTCGTGAGGCGTGAGTATTGGAGTACTCAGTGTAAGTTTAATACGAACCGAACAGGCGAAAACACTTGGCTTTATATTCCGCAAGGTTACCACCGAATGCTTTTGGAGTTATCAGTTGCTTTAAAAGTTTTAATTAAAATGGATTTATTTTTCGTTTTTATGTAAAACGTACAGTTCAATGCTATAAGCTGGAGCAATTTGCATGTATCCTGCAAAAAGAAAAAAATTTTACAATTAATTAAGTGTAAAACACATTTAGTTCAATATAAATAAAATAGTATTTTTATCAATAAAAAAGTGTGGAGGAGGAACATAAATTTTCAATATATGAGATATATGACATATCTCAGGAGCTAGAACCTTAAACCGACAGAGATTTAAAGATTATTAAAAAAACATTAAATTATAAAATTGCAAATATTTCTTGCTACAAACAAAAAATTTCCATTGTCGTTATATTTTGAAGGTTTGGAGAATAGATTGTTTACTTCTACCACTTTACTTTAATATACTATATACAAATGAGTATGTAAAATCATAAAACAGTCAAAGTGTTTTTAAGTTTGATAAAAACAATATAATCCTGAAGCAGAATTTCTAACTTCATATTGGAATGACATATTTTTATAGCAATGACATAGTGTTATAAATATGACAATAATGTGACGTATGAGGTAATGTTATCAATGTAGTCAATGTTATCAACACAAACTAAACTTAGGATTTTTAAAACAAACGTCATCCCAGTGCTATTATATGATTGTGAAACATGACTCACAACAGAAGCAATAATACAGCAAATACAAAGCTTTGTAAACAGATGTCTGAGACGAATGATAAGTGTTTGGTGGCTAAATGTTATAAAAAATAAAGAACGCTACCGAAAATATAACATCGAACTTTATAAAAAGACGCAAATGGCGCTGGATTGTCCATACGTTTCGTGAAGACTGTACCGAAATATGTCGTCAAGCACGGAATTGGAATCAACAAGGTAGACGAAAAAAAAGTTGTTCAAAAACATCATGGACATCACAAACGCTAAACGCCAACACTTGTGCAACAGGGAAATCGTGAAACTTATTAAAAGTAATCGCAAGTAGTCGTACAAGCTAGAAATGCTTTACTGAGGCCCGATGATCCTCATGGATATAAAGGAACTGACAACAACATGAGGTAGTTTCTGCCCTTTTTTGTCACGAGATGGTGCTGGTATCCATATATCTGGCAACACTTATCCTGATATATGTAAGCGATTATGATTTAAATCCTATGACTGTCTACAAACGACTTTGAAGCCTGGATTGGCGTCACAGGAGGTTATGTTGACTATTCTATTAAAAGCTGCTCCAGCTTTATGTCGCGGATAGTTCGATCCTTTATTGTTGACAATTCAACTGCTTGAATAAATTCTAACACAATAATGCGAGGCCACATACATCTTTGATGCCACGGAACAAATTAACGGAACTCTATTGGAAAGTTTTGAAACATCTAGGATATAACCCAGACTTTGCACCGTTTGACTCCCATTTTTTTTATTTCTGCTAAAACTAAAAATCACTTGACAAAAGTTTTACATCGATGAAATTATAAAGCTACTCGAAAATTGGCAAAAAATCATAAATAATAATGCCCAACATAAACTTATTGAATTTTTTTTTGAATTAGTAAAGTTTATGTTTAAAAATTTCCAAAAATAACGGATAGTTTTTATATCACCTAATATTATATATCATATAATGCAGCTTGAATAGTAGTAAAAACAACTAATTCTATGCAAGTAAATGAAATAATTAAGTTAATTTCAGTAATGAATTTTTTATATATGAGTAATAATAACATATATCGATAAAATTTATTTATAAAAATTATAATATGATGACTCGAAATAAAATGATTGAATTAGATATGTATAATTTATAGTAAATAGTATAAAGTAATTCGTTAAGGTGATATATTGGTTTAGAATTAGTATATAGTGTAAATTGATTAAATTTAAATGAATATTATTTAATTAAAATAGTTAAAAAACCAAACACAGCTCATTTTGATATTCGTTTTCATTCTTCTACTACTATGTTATTACTACTTTTTGACAGCTGGCAATGATATGACATTTTAAGTCGTTAACAGTCATTAATTTTAATTCATCGTTCACACTAGTATTTGCTTACTATTTTAAATAATAAAATAATTGTTCAAACTATTGTTAATTTAAACTGAGTGATCTTGATTCTGCTAGCAAAATTTTTAAAATTAATTAATTATACAACAAAGTAAAATCAATACTTTTTAATTTAATTAAAATATACAGAAATCGTTATAATGATGTTCTTCTCTTCTACTTTTAAACAAAAACTATATTTTTATGCAAATAGATCATTTTATTTTTTTTTTTGCATTTTTAAGCAAACATTTTATTTACTTTATAACTGAACAATTTCTTTTTAACTTCTGTTGTAAAATATTTAAAGATCATATGAAATAAATATTAATAAAATTTATAATATAGTATATTTTTATTTTTATTTAGATACTTAAAAGAAAACTTGAAAATCTATAATATTTTTCCTAGCAATTGCTTCTTTGTATTAATTCTAAAATAATTAATTTACGATCTAATTAATGTACGAGGGGTGTGGAGTGTTTGTTTACATATTATTTTCTTACTAAAACAGTCTAAATTGTGAACTACGTTTTTTATGACACACTTTTCTCAATATTATTGAGTTTTTATTTTTATTTGCATTTTCAATTAAGGTAATCCCCAATAAATTTGCACAAAATTAACAATGATTAAAGGAGTGTTTTGATTTTATAAATAATTTTATATATTATGTTTATTTATTAAATTTGGTTTCATATCTTAATTCTTATATAACAAAGACAATAAAGAATATACGAAAATCTGTTTTCACTTTACAATTTAGATCTTATGCTACTAAAATTGTATTCCTTAGTATGCTACAGAGTCTGATGTAGCACTAATCTTGTGATGTTACATAATTTTTATTTATATACCTATATCCAATTCTAATAAAATCTAAAAAATAATTACAGCAGACAGAAACTAGTTGAAATTGAAATTTAAGAAACTTCCTAATAAAAAGAAGTGATAGCCAAATCTAAAATTCTAGATTATATATCATATGTTACAGTTGAGCAAAGTATTAATTATTATTTATATGAAAAATTACTTAAATGGTTTTTATTTTTGTAAAAAACACTTTGAGATATCAATTTGTGCTTGGAATTAGAGAGCAAAGTATATGGGCTTAACTAAAGATAGCAATTTCATCTGAAAATATTATATTAATATAATAAGCCTTATCCACACTAAGGCCTATGCGATAAAAAATTACTATCTGAATAAGTAATAAAACCAAACTTTTCACATTCTTTTACCACCAAGGATTTTCAGACGTAATAAAATATTTTTGATTTCTAAAAGCTCTTAGATATGTAATGGATAAAGAGATTAGGATCGCAAATGTCAAATAGTATTGATCTATAATTTATCTAACCTGTGGTACCATTGGCGTGCTGGTGTTGTCTCTAGAAAATTTTCACGCAAATGATATTTTGACAAATAACACAAATAAATCTCCCAAATAAGAGACAGTAAGTAATGAAACACCGGTCATCTTAAGTTTTCTTAAATAGGTAACTATTCGAATAGGTAACTACTCTACCATTTTCTGTCAATCGTGTCTGACTGTATAAATGAATATGAAACTTTTGTACTAAGTCAAGGCCCCATAACAAATCCAAAATGAACTAGAAACAGAAATAGTTTCATATTTTTTTCACAAATTGTTTATTGACATACGTGATTGCAATTATGTATAATTGACAGTACTGATGAACTTTACTTAACAGTAATATTAAAATAATTTCATTTTATAACTAATTATTACAAGTATGGTTTTACTTTTTTAAAAAATATTTCCACTGCTTTTTACTTGTTCTCATATCAATTTCAAAACAATACAATTTCTAAGAAAATGAATCTTTCTCGTAATTTTGCGGTTAACACGGTTAGATTTTACATAGATTTCATTAGTAAAATCATATGAAGATCAAATGAAAATTTTTACTGTTTTATTTTACTATTTATTTTAGCTGAACAATAAAAAATATTATGTAGTGAAGTGAAAAAAAACACCCATCGTTAATAAATGGTAAGTCCGTAAAGAATCATCAATGAAATGAGCAATTTAATAAATAAGAAGACAATTTTTTGGTGATTCATTCAATGTCCATTAGAAATTATTAGCAATGAAAATCCACAATCTATAAAGGAGGTAATATTTATAGTAATAAATTAAATATTAAAAGTCAAAAACTACTATTAACTATTATTGATAAAGAATTCCATAAAACTACAACTCATTGTCTGTTTAAAAAAAACATCTATACCATCTATACCAGAGAACTTTTGAAAAAATATCAATTCCATAAAGATTCTTTTATTTGAAGGAGGCCATGAACCATCTGGACATTTTCTTTAGAACAATTCAGAAAAACAACTCAGAGCTTTACCGTGACAACTAATATTACAACAGTAATATGACAACTATTTACTTATAACAGTTTTTAGAAGTAAAGATAGAACGTATAAGATAAATGGGTTAAAAGATTCTAAATAATTGCTTTCTCCTAAAATAGCTTCCAAATCCTTATAATCATCGGTTACACTGTTACCAAGAAACTATCTTATGGTTTAAAGAAATGGATGGGATCATTTAGAAGATATAAGTATATAACATTTTTGAACTAATTTTCTGAAAAATTAGTTTATCTTTGCTAAGTTTGCTAATACTAGCAAGAAACACAATATAAAGTTACTTTATCCAGATAATATGCTTCAATGGGAGTTTAATCATAAACATTGAGAAGGAAACATTATGACTATCATGACTAACTAGCCACTTATTTTGAGTATATAATAAAATTAATTTACCGCTAAACTGAGAAAGTTACATATACAACTAATTCGCTATTGAATTAACTTTGCGAGCCATCAAACTATACGAACTTTAGAGATCGTCTTTTATTAGTTACTAGTTTTAAGATATCTGTCACTATCTTTTTATTAAATAGTGTTTTGTAAATAATCAAGCGTACAATCGTTTATTTACAGGGTTTATAAGTTAGATCTGCATAGCTCAATATAAAAATAATTACTTTTAGAATAAAGTCAAAA